GCTTCTAGGTTGGAGGCCATCGCTCTTAGGTTGGAGGCCATCGCTCTTTTTAGGTTGGAGGGCATCGCTTCTAGGTTGGAGGTTTCTTCGTCCCAGCACCTCGAAGCATGGATGTCAAAGACTCTATCGTTTTCTCGGGCCACTGGATTCCGGGCAGCGGTGCATGCTGATGGTTCCCCCCGAGTCGTGTTCAATTTGGCGATCGCGTGGTCTGGGTTGTTTTTGTCTTGGCAGGCAGATCATGGGAGTCTGGTGGAGCAAAACAAGACTCAGGCGCTTGGGATGGGATCGGGTTCAGTGTGGCAGGATTTTTTTGTCGGAAGTGTCAATTCTCGGCGGGGATTCCTCTCTTGGTTTATGGTTTCCACTTGATGGACCAGGATGGCAATATTATATTGTTTGTTTGTTTTTTGTAGTATGAGTGCTCATCATCCTTAGACCGTGACGAAACCAATAGCCTTTGTGTTGTTCCTACTCTTTTGTATGATTTCTTTGACAAGTGTTCGTCGTGTTCGCCCTTTGTTTGAGAGTAATTGGGCAAGTATCACCGTGTTGATCCGTGTGGGTCTTGCCACTTTTTTTCAGGCCCAGGAGCCCCTACTAGCTTCTTGTTCCTAGTAGCGATGCCAGGAACCCCCATTAGCGTCCTTGTTCCTAGGCCCAGGAGCTCTTCAATCACTTTCTGGAGGCAGTCGGAACGAGCGCTGTCAGAGACGGACTGAGCCCAGAGCTGAGACATTTTCAGGTTTCATTTCACGGGTGGTTACAGGTTCAACTGTGTTCAATTCATTTCTGTGAGAGACATCCTCTAGCTGATTTGGCCTCATGGTTGATCATTGGGGAGAGGTTTGATCCAAAGAATATCAAGCATCAACCTCTTTGTGCTCCTAGGCGAAGTGGTTAGACATGTCTCCGGTCTCGAGTCGAGCACTATTGAGACAAGAATGTTCTCGTTTTGCTATTGAAGCACTCACAGAGAGAGGAAAAGCCATGAGCTGCCTTTCAAAACCAGGTCAAGGACCTTCGTCGTGGTATCATGGTCAACATCGTCCTTGATGTCCATGGCTTTCCTTGTCCTAGATGACTGTGTAACTTTTTGTATGGATGCTCATTGGAGGTGCGGCATCAAGTGGAGGATGTGCATGGCTTGGTGCTTCCCTTGGCGGACGAGCTGCATGTGGGGCACCTGGCTGAAGGGATTGTTGCAGTACTTGCTTCTTCAGCATAGGCCCTGTATAGATGTTTATGTAGAGTCTGTGAAGTACACAGCGCAAGTGGGATGAATCAGTGAGATCGTAGACCGGTTTGGAGGCCTTTTTGGCCCTCAAAAGAAAGTTGGAGGCCATCGCTTCTAGGTTGGAGATGCTAGTATGATGGAGGCTTCCTCTTGCAGCATGCGCAGTCGGTGCTCAGTTGCTGCTTCGGCTCAGAAAGCAGCCATGACCACCGCCGTGGCTTTTAGTCACCGCTGCACCTCGGATTTGCATCGGGTCTCCACCAACTTCTCCGGGGTAAGTTACTGCATTGATATATGATATACTGCTTTTCTTCTCCGAAATGTCACACTGAGAGTTGCTTGTCCTATTCTGAATCTTCAGATCTACCTGCCCACAGCAATTTCCGCGGGCGACTGCGTTTTGAGGTAGCGGTATGAGGCCCGAAGACCAAGAGGCTTATGCACTGCGGGTCTTCCATCTCTTTCCAGAGCCTTGGCACCAAGTCCGTGTGCCAAGGGAGGCCATCGCTATTGGGTTCGTTTTGCTATTAAGTTGGAGGCCATCGCTGTTAGCCTCGACACCCTCAACCTCATCGACCATTGACCCAAAGTTGCACCGAAAGTGGCAAGACAACGGACTTTCCCAGGCCCACAATTCTCATGCACACATTTTTGGTAAGAAGGGAGGATTGAGGTAGGAGCAAGGACGCTACTAGGAAGGACGCTACTAGGGACTCCTGGCCTTACTACTGGGAGCAAGGACGCTGTTCTATCCGACGTTCACGGCGTTCACGACGTTCCCCGATGAGCGTTGCCGCTCAGGAGCTTTTTCACCTCTTGGGTGATCCTAGCCTGCCGCAGCACTTTGATCCAAGCCGAAGTGTTGTGGACCTGTGGCTTGGATGACCTACCTGAAGCTGCGAAGGTTGGTGCAATTCTTCAAGGCAACGCATATTCTATGTGTTTTTTTTTCCATTGAATCTATATTATTCTCTCTCTCTCTCTGTGATGATCTGAGCTGAGGCAAGAGTCGGTCCTGCAGACTGTGCTCAGGGCATCTTGGACAAGTTTCTCTGGTCGATCTTTGCAGACCAGAAGACTTCTACTAGTAACAGGTGCCTTACTAGTAGTAACAAGAAGCTAGTAGTAACAGGTGCCTTACTAGTAGTAACAAGAAGCTAGTAGTAACAAGTGCCTTACTAGTAGTAACAAGAAGCTAGTAGTAACAGGTGCCTTACTAGTAGTAACAAGAAGCTAGTAGTAACAAGTGCCTTACTAGTAGTAACAAGAAGCTAGTAGTAACAGGTGCCTTAC